TATGAAGGTACCCCGCCAGCCCTCTAGCTGGAGGCTGTATCTGGAGTGCTGCTGCTGCTGCTGGCGCAGGCTGCAGCAATGTAGCAGTTCAGAAATGCCTATTGAAAATGCAGCAGCCGTAGCCTAATGCACATAGGGTTACGTGCCACCGTTTTAAGAAGGGGTGTGGAGGCCCTTCTGTTTTACGCACTCCCAGATTATATATTTGTATATTATGTTGCAATGAGCAGCAAAGGCTACGTGCATGGATTTGCATGCATGGGTCATTTCACTTCAATGCTCATTCCAATAATGGTTAAATTATAATGTTTTTAGGAAAAGTAAATTAATTTGGGAACCAGATTTAATCAAAATTGGAACAGAGGGTCATTTACGGGTTACACATATTATATTTTCATGTGGTGATTTGAAGTGAGAAGTATAGTAATATAGTTCCTGAAAACAGGAGAGCAACGTAGATTTTCAGAGAGAGTGCGTGGGTCATCGCTTAATAATTCTCGTTCTTAGTGTTAACGGGGAACACAAATGCAGACACACCATGCTAAATTGCTACCCACTCTGTTTATTATAATATTTATTTCCATTATTGAATTATATTTACCCCAATTAATATTATTTTTTTTCTCACCTTTCTCCAAAAATGCTCCTATTTTGGCATTTTATTTCCATCGCTATTGTTATACCGCGTAATCTTGTTGTTATACCGCGTAATCTTGTAGTCCAACAAGGAAGATTTTGAATAGAGTAACCGGCGGCCATTTATGGCGAGTATTTTCAGATTTTTATTCGGTTAAATATTTTGAAATTTCAAAAGTTTGAATAAAAATAAATAATGTGTTACGAATTTCGAAAATTAAAAAAATTAAAATAATATAAATTAACAATGTGTTTGTGCGTTGATAGCTGAAGAGGGTAGGGAGCAAAAACGAGGAGTCGGGCAAATTAAATAAATGTACGAACAAACAGAAGAAAGAAAAAGGAAATAAATAAATAAATAAAGCAATTACAAGGTGAGGAGGTGCCCGTGAGAACAAAAAATAATGAATATTATATATAAACGGAAAAAAAAAACAAAAAGGAAACATTATTATTATTATTCTATTATTATTATTTCGCTCCGGCTTCGGCAAACGCGCGACGTTGATACGTGGCGCTCCTACCTTTTTGTCCCTCTCATTGCCCTTCCTAAACATTCGTATGGTCGTTTTCTTCTCGATACCTCTCAAGGGTACTTCCGTATTTTCCTCTTAGGTCACTATCATTCCATATCCCTCTCTTTTTAGCAACCTATTCCTGCTCCTTAATGGATGTGGCGAAACAGGAAACAGCCAAACCATACCAAACCATACCAAACCAAACCCTTCTTCATCTCCTTTTGTCTACCGGAATTTATTAGGGTTTCTTACGAGAGAAACACGACCGGTTTCCGTCGGAAAACGGCTTAACTGACCTCGGCTTTTGTCCGCCGACGTTCGTTACGAGTTTCAAGTCGGCCATGGGAGAAACTGGTGTCATCCGGCTTCAGAGAAGTTTGGACCCGGCCGCTCGAGAGTTCCGACCCGGAAACTTCAGTAATCTGCCTCCTGTTGTTGGGCCCCCCGTCTGCCATGTTTACTATTCCTTCGGTGCTCCGTTTCCACCGTCGATGAGCGAACTGCAAGTGGAACCGTTTAGCAATTCTGTGATAACGTATTCCCCTAATTTTCCGGTTAATTTTGATCCGGTGTTTGTTACTCCAGTGGAGGAAATTGCGGTGCCGCAGGTTCAGCCGTTGTCGTCGTGTCCGACTCGGTCGCTGTTACTGAGTGCGGTGCCTAGTGACGTGAGCGAGCCAGTGGTGCGAAGGGATTTGGAATGGTTTGGGGATGTGAGAGGGGTTCAGATGGAGAGAATCAGGGATGGAATCCTGACCGTTCATTTTTACGATCTGAGGCATGCAGAAAAGGCCTTTCGAGAGATGCGGAACCAACATTCGATGCGTCAAAAACAACTTCGCAACCAACATTTTTGGTTTTCGCAGAACAGTTTCGACACGCCGCCGCGGTTGGCTCGTGCCCTAATCGGCGGCTGTGCTGTGTGGGCCGAATTCGTTATTCCGACTAATAACCCCGCCGTATTGGACTGGAACAATCAAGGCACCGTCGTTATTTTCAATTTGGAGTTGGATGTCTCCGCCTCTACTCTCAAGGAAATCTTCGAGCGTTTTGGTAATTTTTCTTCCTTCCCATTCGTTTGGGTGGGGACTTTTTTTTGGGGGTTTCGTTATTATATCTGATGCCAACTCCTTCCCCTACTTTATGGTCTATGTCAGATGCATTATGATGATTGTACAGTAATTGTTTTGTTGTTCTTTTTTCCGTGGGGGGTGGGGTGTTTTTGTTTTTTCCCTTTCCTATTTCGCTTCAGTGATTACCTTTTTCTTTGGAGTAAGGCCCCGTGAAGGAATTTAGGGAGACGCCATTGAAGAAGCACCAACGGTTCGTTGAGTATTTTGATGTTAGAGATGCCGCTAAGGCCGTTAAAGAGATGAACGGTAAGGAAATACACGGCAAGCCGGTCGTCGTTGAGTTCAGCCGTCCCGGTGGCAATGGCCGGAAGTTCTTCAATCCCATGGTCGCCTCCAGAACACTACACACTGGACACCACCAGCAGTCAACCTCGTCTCGGCCTTCGAAGCTGTCTGGTCGTTTCAAAGACCCACATCGTCCATTCTACCCGCAAGCGCAAATTTTCCCCAAGAAGGTGCAATATGTGAGCGGCCGGAGCTTAAACAATGCAGATGAACTGATGGACAAGTTGCAGCCATTGAATTGCAGTGGAAATACAGGAAATGGAATTGAAATAGGGGCCTCAGTCGACACTTCGAAGGGGATAAATGCAAAGAAGATTATGAATAAGCAATCTCCAACCAGCTCAAAACAAGAAGCATTTTCTCAACCTAGGATTAATTTTAGGTTGAGGAAGAACAACTTCTTGAAGAAATCTGACCCGTGTTTCTTAATAAGCGAAAACGCAATGGATGCAGAAGCACCCGATTGCAGAGAGTCCAGAACTACGGTTATGATCAAGAACATACCCAACAAGTATAAGTGAGTTTTCTGTTTCATTCTTTATGTACATTTCTATTTTATAGAAACAAGCTCATGAATGTCCTTGGTTCGTGTTTAAAAACGTTTTCAAACTCAGTCAGTCAACCTCTAGGGAGGTCTAAATAAAAAAATGTTTCCATTTTGAAGCAAACGACAAGTATTTCTGAACAGGCCTGAAAGTAGGATCTGTTTTAAAGGAAATTATTATTATTATTATTATTATTATTATTATTATTATTATAAGGCATGGACTAATGGGGGAAACAAACATATAATGGGCAGTCTGAAGTTATTACTGAAGACTCTGGACAAGCACTGCGTGAAGTGCAACGAGGAGTTGGGCAACGATGGAAAGGGCCTTCCTGTGTCCTCCTACGATTTCGTATATCTTCCTATTGACTTCATGTGAGTGATTATGTTGCTTCTTCATCTGTCATTTTTGTTGATCTTACTGGACCACATGTTCATTGCCTTATTATTTGTTTTGATTTTCCTTTCCAAACTGCAGCAATAAATGCAATGTGGGATATGGGTTTGTGAATATGACCTCCCCACAAGGAGCATGGAGACTGTACAAAGCTTTCCATCTCCAAGCTTGGCAAATCTTCAACTCCAGAAAGATCTGCCAGGTTACCTACGCTAGACTTCAGGTGGGTGGGTAATAGTCATATGGCTGGGCTAATTAATTTCCAAAAGTTGCTTATTTTGGTTTGTTTGTTTGCTTTTGTGTAGGGGTTAGAAGCACTGAAGGAGCACTTCAGGAACTCAAAATTTCCATGCGAAATGGAACAGTATGAGTTGCCGGTGGTGTTTTTGCCTCCTCGAGATGGCATTCAATTGACAGAGCCGCTTCCTGTTGCCGGAAATATGCATGATGGTGATGGAGAACACCCGTGTGATACCACCGAGGCCACCACAGATGAGTCATCGGAGGAAGGTGGTAATGGTAATGGTAAAGAGGAGGAAGGAGACAGCAGCAAGAGATCAGAAGATTGGTAATGGGTGTGTGGCAGTGGGGGGAGAAGGTGTATGTGGTGTTGTGAACCCACCCACCCACCACACAACCTTACCGAACTGTACAAAAAAAAATCACAAAACACAAATGAAAATGACGGTAGCATTGGAGCTGGGGAGCCGTCTTACAAGGCAAAGCTCGCCTCCACCCACCTTCTTGACTGACTATCCATCACTTCTCTCTCTCTCTCTCATGGATGGGGGTTTCTTCGACATTTTATGCTCTTAGCCAAGGAGATGAAAATGGCGTTTCTCTCTCTTGCATAGGGATTTGAGATGGTGAGGGTTTGTTGATATTTCGATGGTGGTCTTGGAGGTCGTGTAGGTGGAACATCTGTCTCTTTTTTCTTTTTTCTTTTTTTCTTTTTTGTCCTTTGCAGAATTTTTAAAACATGCTTTTCAAGTATATTTATCGTATGTTTAATTAAATTAGTTTTTTGTTTAAATATGGTTGGCGTTTAATTTTATATTAATGGAAACATGTGAGTGTACTAATTTAGGGGCTTGTATGCTTAAGACTAGTGCGTTTATTTATTTATTTTTTTTCAAAGGGGGTTAAGATGAGAGAAGGGGGGGCAGAGCTGACCAACTTTATTACTTTATACATCAAATCGGCAATGTCAAATACTCTGTCACTTTCACCTCCTCTCTCTCTCTCCCTCTCATTTGAATTTTAATTCGAATTTTAATTTGAATTTTAATTTGAATTAATTTATGTTTGGGTGGAAATTTGATGAGGAGTTCAATACATTCCATTCTGTATTTAAAACTGAATTATGGAAATGAATGGAAGAAAGAGTGTTTTAATAAGCCACACTAAATTTCTTATTTTTCATTTAAGAGTAATTCATGAAACATATATTTAATTAATTCTGATAGAAGAAGACTGAGAAGTAATCTGGTTGTGGGTGGGGTTTGGAGTGCTAGTATTTGATGGGATAAGAGGCTTCCATGACTATTCCACACAGCCCTTCCGACTGCTCCACTCCTCGCTTCATCCTTACGTAACCTTCTTCTCCCCATCCAACTCCCCACGAGTTCCTCACGATCCAGTAATCTCTTCCCTCTTCTGTTGTTCCGTAACCAATCGCCACCACTCCGTGATTCAGCTCCGTTCCACAGTATCCATCGAACACTCCCTGCAGTTTTCCCACGGTTTTAAGATTAACAATGCCTCAAGATATTATAGTGAAGCAATTCATTTCTCGAATGAACCACAAACTTGCCTGCGAGTAGAATTGGAAATCTCTTCCCACGGCGTCGATGGCGACTGAGACTGGTTGGTTTGCGACGGCTTGCATCAGGGCATTCTCGTTTTCAGGTACGCTTTCATATCCATCGATTGTTACTGTCGGTGAAGATATCTGCTAAACCAAAGAAGTAGATGCTTAGTTTGATCATTTCTGAAAGGATCCATATATTTTAGTTTTGAATTCAATTATAAAACTGACTCTGGATGAGCGACACAATCCTCTTGCGCCGTGGTACGGATAGCTGTTCTCAGTGGCGATTCCACCATTTCGCTTTATGAAATCGAATGCGATCTCCATGAATCCTCCGTTACAGCCTCTGTTCCTAATATTGCAGTCGAGCAGCTCCTGCTCTGATAGAGACAGTAGCCGGTTGGTTTTGATTTGGTTGATTCCTTCAACTGCAGCCACAGATGAAAACGCCCAACAGCTTCCTGCAATATATTTCATAATCCATTGGTTATTTATGATTTCCATTGACATCGAATGCTTTACATTTTCATAATCTAATTGTGAGAACTCTCAAAACACTTAAACGTTGTGTTGAGTTGTCTAGCCAGAATTAGAAATTATACCACATCTGCCTTGCTCTTTGATGTCATTGACAGCTCCTCTTTCCCTCCAGTCGATGTATGATGGAAGATCTGTAGCCTGCTCATACATGAATCCACCTGATCTTTTGCCATGTAACTTCCTGTAGTGGCTAATATTGGAGCGAGCATAGAAGCTCACAAACTCAGAGTTGGACATATCCGCGAACTTGTTCAGCTTCAGCTTGTATGGTTTGTTCATTTGGTTCACTGTGAACACATGGTTCACGTTCTCTTTAAACACGTTGAAACGTTTATGCTTCTCCTTTAGGCCCCTTGAGATAGTGTGGTGGTTACCCCACCTCTCATACAGCCGCCATAGACTTTCCTCTGTTGCCAACTCCTTCTCATCGAATTCAAAGCTTTCACCCAATCCTGAAACTAGAACAATCAAAAGAAAAGGAACCAAAAGAAATTTGCTAATGGCCATATTGATTTGGAGAACTAGTTCAATAGGGATATGAGTAATATGGATGAGAAAGCTGTTGCTTGAGTTGGTTTGGCAATGCATGTCTTAGCAGCTTATATAGACATGGCATTGGTGCAAGAAATTGAACTGGATCAATTTGAACCCAACTAAACCAACTTGATCGCTTTTTCCGTTGGTGATGATATGGTGATAAGGTTTTCTTGATTGTAGCAATACAATTTGGTTAGCGTTTACTCCATATGTACCTCTTATCCATTAGGTGCCGAGTGTTTTTACTATGATCATGTTGATCAACATATTTGACCCAACATGAATTGTTGTGCTAGGTAATTAGTGTAGTTTAGTTAATATTAGTTTGGTCGTTATTTTTAAATCAATTATTGCTTAATTAGTAGCTTGGATTTGTTTATTTATGAACATTGTTGTGGGGAGTATTCTCTAATCTTTATGGATAATTCATTTTCTTTGTTTGGCATCAACATTACAGATAATGTAGAATTTGAAATACAATCAACATAATGTCATATTCATAATTTGTTTGAATATTTCAATATACATGCATGGTGTGACAGCTTTGGGTTGATTGAGAGTGAAGCATCTATGATTGTTCAAACTTTTAGCCAGAAAATGTGGAAGGGGTGACTCTAATGGTTATGCATCATCGGAATGGGAACTCTTCATCGGGAATTGGGAACGATCGTTTTTAATATTATATTTTAGTCATACTTTTGGTTGTCAAAAAAATTCAATAGATCTTTGATTTCGTTATTTAAAGTTAAGTTCTTTCTATCGAAGTGGGTAAAATAATAATTGTAACTTTAGTAAAAGAAAAAAAACATTGAATGTTGAGACTATTTTAAAAATTAATAAGAAGTATAGAAACTGAATTTGATATTTTATCCTAATGTATATATGTATATATATTATGGTGGAGTACATAAGTGGTGGCACATATGAAATAGTGGAAGGTGTTCGGTTTGTTGATGCTTCTTGTTCTGATCAATGTTTTATGCGTAGGAGACATGAAGAGATATTCCCATCCCCCAAATGTTACGAAGCAGTGTGGAATTGGGAATGAATCCTCCACCAATTGCGACCGTCTTTTAATGCAAAACAGAAATCTTTTCACAAAACGGCGAAATAGATGAATCACTACCTTTTCCACTACCCCACATTTTTCGAAAATTCCGTTACTGTGCGTCCTTCTATCTTGTATGCTAGGCTGGAGTCTATTACGTATATATTTTTATATACAAATATTTGGATGAGAAACATTTCAATCGCTTAACTATAGTGCAAAAAAAAAAATTTCCCCAGAAAAATTACATAGGAAAGGAAGAATTAGAGTTCCAACCTTCTAATACACCAATAGTACAATTGCTTAGCTGCCAAGTGTCACCCGTACATGCGATACAAGTCCCTTCGTTAATATTTATTTTTGATCTAGAGGTTAAATGTTTAAATCTTTTCATATATGTCAAACTAAAAGGATAAGGATGAATTAACAAAGAATATATGATCCATAGATTACCAGGTTCTCATGCTCACAAGGATCCATATGTTTAAGTAGAAATTCAGATGAACTTTATCAATATAATGTTAGCAATTACCAGGTTGAGGAAGAAGAAAGAGAAGTTTCGAAGATGTAATGGATACTGTTTTATTTTGAATATTCATGGTATTAGATAGAACACACCCTCCCTACTAGGCAGCAGACAGAGACATTGAAGGCTCAAAACTTAGGGAGAATATATGGTCAAATAGTGTGCCTCCCAATGGCCTTCGTATATTTGCAGCAGTGAATGATGAAACCAACACCTTGCAGGTTGCAAAATGTTTGGTTTCTATGGTTTGCTTCTAAATCCATCACACGAGAGACAACTATTAAGGTTTTTGCATATGGATATACGAAAGCCCACCATACAACATACAAATAGGATTATAACAGCAACCCTCATAGCCAGGGCAAGCAAGAACTGATATGCAATAAACTTCTAAGAAATTAAACAACTGCATAATTCTTCTCCTATCTCAACTCATCAACAGAACCGAGCAAATGCGTTACAGATAAGGGTTGTGGAGATGTCTTAAGGAAGTCTTGTTGTATCAAAGCCCTGATGTCCACAGCAGTATGGGAAGCTTGAACTCAACCTAGAAATAATGAATCTTATAGAGTTCATAATGATTCTATTTTTCAATAAAAATGGCCAAATAATTCCAACTTCGGAAGAACGATGCCTTTCTGAACACATACATGAAATGATGAACAGATATCAAGAACCAAGGAACTCTCATCTAACATGGATAAACAAAACAGGGACTGATCAGGAGACAAGCAAGCATGTCAACACTACAACCGGATTAAAAAAAAACATGCCGTAAAATGAGTACTCGTTTATCTCAACATGAAACTAAAAGGAGCTAAAAGATTATATAGAGAATCTTTTCCAGGTGAATCAAGATGCAGATGCAATTTTTCTCCATACAAGGAACGTTTGCTCAAGAAAAGCAACCTTTAGATAGCTGCATTGATATCTGTTCTTCAACTGAAACAGGAATTTGATAACTCCTGAACCCAAAGCAAACAGATTCTCATCCCAAAGACAAGGTAAGAACACAACAGGGAGTCAAGTTCAGGAATTTCAATTATTCAAAAAGCAAAGCTCCATATTGAAATGGGCATTGCTTACGATTTGATAAGCAGGAAAGGTGTAGAAATGAGTAATCGACCATTTATAGGCCACCCCATTATCATTGTTGTAGAACGGACAACCGATACTTATAAAATGTGTAAGAGTCTAAGCTGATCGATCAATACCGATAACAGCAACAGAAAGTACAGAAAAACAAAAAAGAGGACGGAAGGCCACCGGTCAAGAAGCGTTAAAAGTCAAGCAAGAGAGTCGTTCTGTTTCGCTTGTTGCAGTAGCTCTTCTCTAACTCTTCTGATCTCTGCTTCCCTTTCCAATCTCTCTTTCTGAAACACCAGAGATACCTTATAAATGGTTATGATTTACATTCCAAAAGAATTGCAAATAGATTCAAAACAGTTTATCCAATGTTCTGCAAGCCAAAAGAAAACATCAACCACAAATTTCTAATTAAGAAAAGTTATATGAAATATCGCATTCAAAGCTAAGCTGCCGAAGACTTGCCACCTAGGGTTTTCTCTTTTCCTACTCTTCTATGGAGAAACGGAAATCAATTGAATAAATAACTCTAAGTACCATAAAATTGGAGAAATCTGAAGGGGGAAAATCGAAAGAGAACCTTTTCGTCTTGACGGAGAGCGATCCAAACATGGAGTTTATCCATCGACTGCCAGAATACAAAGGCCCCTAATGACATTGCAAAGAACGTCGCTACTTTCACCATCTTCTTCCCTTAGCTTTAAAAGCTGTCGTCTCAACAGATTATAATTCCGCAGAATGATGGACAAAACGCGACGCAGGAATGCAGGAGAACAAGGCCAGGAGTTGGAGATGGTGTTGCGATGCGAAGACGACTAAATCTCTTTGAGAAGTAATCTGATGCGATGAAATTACATGTATCTCCTCGTTTGATCAATTTTGAGCGCGCGACTGATTATTAAACATTGTAATTGTAGCATAAACAGGAAAATGTCAACTAGCCCCTATAGCTCAGTGGTAGAGCGTCAGTCTTGTAAACTGAAGGTCTGTAGTTCGATCCTGCATGGGGGCAAATTTCTTTTCCTTTATTTTAAAAACATTTTTTTTACTCTTTTTAATACAATACTATTGAATTGGGCCGGATCTGAAATTCTAGTCAAGAGAAACCAGAAGCCCAGGCACACCAACGGAGTTCCATTTTTTCCGCTCGTCATTGCTCCGCGATTGCCTATAAATAAAGCACCTAAACCCTAAGGTTGTATCACTCTCGACTGCCGCATTTGCGACCATTGCTGGAGCTTTGTTCCTGAAGTTTGGTGATTACGGAACTATTGGGGTCTTCAATCTTTTCTTCCCTGCTCGTTTTCATTGGCTTATTGTTTTTTGCTTTTGCTTGCAATGATTTTTTAAACTTTTTGGTGTTGTATCGCCTTTGATAGGCGTTGCGTTCATCGGTGGGTTCTATATCCAGATGGACGTGTCAACGAAGGCGTACATTAACTGCAACTCTTCAAACCTAATCGACTTCGTTTGAATCGGAGTCAAGATATGAGTGTTTTGTGACTTGTAGCTTTGCTGGTTTGACGATGAGACATTTGTTTTTCGAAATCTAGGGTTTATTGGCTTGTCGTTAAATTAATTTCTTTAATTGTTGCTTCTTACTGGTGAACTCTTTCAGATTCAAATGATGGATGTTCATGTTTCCGAAGCATAAATTGATTTAAATTTGCCAGTATTAAACAGCGTTGTGTAAATTCCTATTGCACTCTGCTACCTGTCTCCTGGTACAGTTACTTTTACAAGATCAAAACTTTCCTTCCTATTTTTCTAATGCTATTTCATTAATCTTTCCTATTTTCCTAAAACTTTCCTTCCTATTTTCCTATTTTTCTAATACTTTCCAACGGATTATAACTTCCTATTCTCTAACAATTTTTTGTCTTGAAATGTCTGACGAAACTTGCACTAATAATTTTTTTAAAAAAGTAGTCTTTCTACTGTTATTTTAAATTTTGCTTTCAATTATATATGACCTGATTGGAGGAAATGATTTTGATTCGTCTGTAAGTTTACAGATGCTTAAATGTATTCAACTTGAGATCTAATCGTACATGGTGGTAAATGCAAATATATAGTTTAAATGTAATTGAGAGAAACCATTGATGTGTCTCTGAAACTGAAAACCTCCGCCGGTCAGTGGTTTTCTTGAAAGTTATGTTTCAATAAACGTTCTTCAGAGGATTAATGGTGTTACTCCCCAGTATCTTCAGAAATAATATCCTTTAGATCCCTAATCGGATTAGGAAATACCAAAAATATTTAGCCTAGATTTGCCGCATTGCACTAGTCTGGAATCCCCCTAATGTGGGTGTCTGAAAGGAATAATTAAGTAATTTCCAGTTTATGACGACCTGCCGGACACATTCTTGAAGCTACACAATTTATCCTTTGATAAAGCTGTTATCACCGCCTATGTTTAATTCCAACATTCAAATGTAGAAGAGATACTGCAATGAAGTAGAAGAGAAATCTAATGGAGGCCAATTATTGTTGTATAAGAGAAAGGGGATGATAAAGACTAATTATCTCTGACCATCAAGAAAAAGCCTATGAATTGAGTCAGTTAGGTCTGTTGGTTACTCTCTTACCGTACAAAGTCGGAAGAAAAGGCCTACGTAGATAAGTATTATATAAATTTGATTTGAATGATACGTAACAACGGAATTGGAAAAGAATCTTCAGTTCCATGCATACATGGATTTAAATTACTTGGATTTCACAACAAACAAACCACACTGCAAACATCAAATTAGGGAGCTTCCGTTCTTAGAATAAACTCAATCGTTGCAGCAGCGATACATAATGAACTTTTCCATGGCGGTACCACATTCAGAACAAACGATCTTCTCTGGGATGGTGCCATTCGAAGAAGGCAGAATCAAGCGGTTGCAATGCTCGGGAGTGTGGGTATCCTCTAGGTCTTTCCTCATAGCAGCCATGAATCCTTTCTCCTTCGCATTCACCTTCCAGCGCTTGTCATACCCATCCACCACATTGCTCATGATCTCGGCTTTGGCTCGAAGCATGTCGGTTGACCCCTTGCTCATCACCGCCCACCCCTGCCCGCCGCTGTCCAAGCTCATCATCGTCATTGTCTCTTGCATTATGGGATCGTTTTGGATGGTGCTCCCTCTCTGTGTTTTCGAGTACCACATGCTCTCTAACCTCACCCAGAAGAACCAAATCAGGGTCGGATCTTCCAGGGTGTGGATCAATTTGTCTTCTACAATTGCGGCCATGTTCTTCCTTATTTTCCCTCCTGGATTGCTCTTCCCTACGTAGAGTATCTCCAATTCTATCCCGGCGTCCTTGGCTACTTCCACTATCTTTCTGCTGAAGCTTCGTATCCATCCCAGATCTTCCCCTCCGAAAATGCATATGTACTTCCCTGTTTCTATCTGAATTTACAGGAGCAGAGTGAGTGAGAATATATGAAGATTGGACAAGTGTGTTCAATTTGGTTGAGATTAAGGAATTTATGCGGAATACAATACCCATTGGAACACTTGGGGCTCCACTGAATCGATCAACAGCTCGAGTCTCCAAGTCTCTTCTTTCCAAAGTGAATCCTCTCGAGCGCTTGTGAAAGGGTGGGCCAAGTTTCCCCAAATCCACATCATATGGAAGGCGTTGGTATTAACCACTTTGCCTCGAGGGTCCAAGACCACCAAGAGAGGCTTTTTGACGAATTTCCATACCTGTCGTATGTACTCCACGACGGCAGATTCGATGGTTGAAGGATGCGCCACCGAGTACCATGGCATCATCCCCAATAACCGTTCGAATTTCTTCTGTTTCTCATCTGTCCATGGGGACTCCACAATTGGCATCCACACCACCTCGTAATCGCTCTCTGCTCTACTTTTGTTGTTTATACAGTCCCTGTAGATTTGTTCCAGCATTGAAAGCTCCACTGTGGTCAGGTCCAGGTCAGAGATGAGGAGCAACACATTTTTCTTTCGCAGCACTTCGAGGGTAGCCTGTGATGTTGTGATTAAAGTTTGAAACCCAAATAGAATATGTGGAGTACTTTAGATATTCTCGTTATAATGTGTGTCCGGTTTGTTAGAAAAGGGAAAACTGAGGACCCACCTTTTCCTTGCTTTGACCATCGATGAGGGGCGGCTTATCATCCTTGGAGAAAATCAAAGCCTTCAGAATCTTGTGGTTGTCAATGTGGGGTATCTCGAAAAGTCGAACCAGGTTCGCATACGCTTCTTGATGCATCTTCTCATCTGCGTATCAATCAATCACAAACACGAACAAAAACAGGGAAAGAATTGAAGTTTAGAGAGCTACAGAAGCCTCACTTATGTAATGATGACAAGCAAGAAGCAGCTGTTCAAGATGCTTCCGAATGCTGTCGATCTTATGGGTCAAACTAGACAGCTCCCATGACTCAGATGCTGATGCTAAATACCTGATGAAATGTTGCAGAGAAGAAACTAAGAATGGTTGGTTAGCTAAGTTCGATTACCAAAAGTAGGAGACGGTGGGGCATACTCATGGCCGACTCCAACGAGGCCTGCATTCTGTGCAGCACATGCAACAATGCTTCTGATTGTCCAATAAGTAGCTGTGGGAATAAGAGTGGTTGCGCTCTTCATTTCAGGCGTGTCTGGAGTAATGTAATGGGGAGGAAGCATGGTGAAATCAACAATGCACTTGGCCACAGCCATGAGTGTGTTGATGAGTTTGTCAACTTCTTCAAATTTTTGCTTCACAATGTCGATCCTCTCGAACATTTCTGGGAGTTTCTTGAGGAGCGAGATGTCTTTGGCGAGGAAGTCAGTTGTGGATTGCTGAGCCAATAACCAAAACTCTCCATAGTTTATGGCAAATGCAGCCAAGGCCAGCACCACCTTAGCATCCCATGGCCAGTTTGATAATAAATTGAGCACTTCCATCGTCACGGTATGGGTATCCCCAGCTCTTGAACACCTGTACCGTATCTGTGGTCATTCAAAACAAGCGAACAAAATGAATCTATGAAAGGACGTGAACTTCTTCTTGTGTGCCTAAAAGGAAGAAGAAACTGTAAACAACCTCATTGGAAACTCTATTGATAGTGAACGATACAAAATTCAGCAAGTCCAGCAAGTCTGTTGGGCCTGGAGAGCGGTCTTCGATTGCCTCCAGTTGAGCTCGTGTTGTTCCCTGCAGACAAATTTAATCAGTGAGCACAGAACTTTCTTCTAGACCAAACAGATGATTTGGTTCAGCTTGAATCGTGAATATGCAAGAAAACAATTGTTATGTATGTGCCTGGTGAGTACTGAGTTTAGCTCGAAGGAAAATTTTTTCAACGAGGCCGAGCAAAGGGTTGACAGGCAACTCGAGGGGTTCCTCAGAATGAGTGGCCAAAACTTGCTTAGTCAAGGCATTTTCATCGCGTGTTGCGAATAGATGACGGTCTTGTTTAACAAGACTCGACTTACGCGGTGCTGCAGCAGCCATGGGTTGCATTGTTGAATGGGGAAGATAGAGTGGAGTATGTATGTATTGAGTAGAATTGTGGTGATTGTGGGTTAGAGTTGAAACCAGGTTAAATAGAGGGATAAAAAGGGATTAAAGGTGAAAAGGTTTGATGAATTTCTACCTTGCTTCCAGAGGGGGTTTAGATTAGTATAAAAGTAAAAAGAGAGGATTAAGGGAAGGCATGAGTGTTTGAGTGGAAAAATGGAAGTGTTGTGATCCAAGTAGTGATATAAAAGCATATGCCAGGTGGGGAGCTGCATTCAAGTTCGCCTCGTATCAGAATCTCAACGTCATGCCATATGAGTATTGGAAGATTAGAAGAAAGAAGCAAAAGAAAAGAAAAGAATGGGTGGGAGATCTTTCCTTTTAATCATAACTGAAACTAAGAGAATGTCACTTTATAAAGCCAAACAAAGCAATCGTGCAGCACATGTTAGGAGGATATTAGGACAGTTTATCAACATTCTGATAGACAACTTCTCCACAACAAAATGATATTACGTCGATCCTGTGCCTGAACCGAGCCTAACCGCTCACACAAAATGCCTACCTTCCATAGCCTTCCCACTTCCTTACAGAGCAAGTGGTAAAATTTTGTACAAAATTAGGTTAATTGAAAGCTAATCAACTAGCCCCACCGGAGTATCTGTCATGGACTACTAATTATGAAGCTCCTTTCCAAGATTTCTTCTCCCCTCTTCCCCATCCAACTTCCTTGGACAAATTAGCTTTCTTCGCGCTGGAAGCCTGGACAATGTCATCCCATGCATTTTCCTTTCCATTTTCTGAAACCACCAGAAAACAACACACAAGGTTGAGCAAATAAGCAGCTTTACTCATTCCTAACACACAACACAAGTCGCGTCTGTACCCCGTTTACTGGTATCGTTTTCCCACTTTTTCCAGCTTTGTTTTGATGCCCTGGGCTGGTTCTCCCATTGTTTACTGGTATCGTTTTCCCACTTTTTCCAGCTTTGTTCTGGTGCTCTGGGCTGGTTCTCCCATTTGTTCCAGCTTTGTTTTGGTGCAACGGAATGCTTCTCCCACTTGCTCCAGCTTTGTTTTGAAGTAGATGCTTCACTAATATTACCACCACCAGCTGCTTCAAAACCTAGTGAGTTTTCATGCTCAACGATTCTGATGTCCACGAGTGAGGAGTAATCAGCCTGCATAAATTAAAAGACTCAATTAGCACAGCTGCCATGCTGTGTTTTCCATCTTGTTCATCGATCATCAAGCTGAGCCTAGCCTGACAACAGAAAACACACATCTGGCAAGTGTAATTTAATTTTGTTTGATTGTCCCTAATCCCATATGCTTATCTGATGAACTCCCACTTCAAGTGAACAACATAACTAAAGATGATAGATGATGGCTAATTTGAGCACCTTTAAAGACCCATCTTCCGCATATGGATGCTTGACTGCTTCCTCGTTCATTGCCTTAAAAACAAATGGATATTCTGGAACAGGAATCAACATAATCTTATTTGCTTCAGGATTACACCATGATACCTTTCCAACCTAACAGGGATTGAGCAAAGTATAAGTATGGGCCTCATCCAAAATATTAATATCGTAAAGGGAACCAAAGGAATTATTACTCTGAAGGAGGAAAATTCTGGAGTCCATGATGATGATAATTCAATTAAACGATATGCAATTATATCACCTCTCTGCAATACAGAAGTTCATGGCTGAGATGATTCCAACACCAAACAATGGTAAATTTAGACATATCCAAGCAACAGAAGCTAATTCCAGATTAGGAAAGAACAATGCAATATTCACACAGAAACATGTAAAACTTATCGAAAACAAACCTCGGGCAAGCTCAAACAAGGTCTGAGTTCATTGAAGTCAATTGGACTTTTCCTAGTTGATGAATCTTTTTTAGCTTGCAACTTGGAACTTTGTCCTTCACAGTTGCAATTACTCGTCCAAAATGGGGATTTCCCTTTACCCCATTTTTTTTCATTCTTAATTGTCATCCCATTTGACCGCGCGGTGTCCTGAAACACTCGATTCGAATGTCAAAGAACCTGGTTTCACTTGCAAGGACTATAAAAGCAAAGAGCTCTAAGCACAGGGATAATACCATAGAAGCTTGAGCTGGATGGACAAACTGGTTAGCTTCTCCTGGAACGAACACAAATTTAAATAAACAAGTTAGCACTTGCACCAAGCAGCGAATTTTGAAAGAATAAGAAACACAAACGGACCTTGATCAAGAGGCAGAAAACGAACATGTCCTGGTCTAGTTTCCACGGGGGCAATTCCTTCATCAACACTACTGCCATCTAGCTGTTCAGAGTCCTCAAAGTAATTCTCCACAGGTAACTTACCGTTACTATTTCGAACTATTCGTTGCTGTACCTGCTGAACGATCAATGAATAAACATCACTTTGAACGCTTAAAATGGAGATTTTTTTTAAAGGAAAGGCCTTCCTTATTTAAATTTATCTACAATGACAAGATATAACATCCTCAAAAGACTTACTGTACGAACCTTTTGCTTGTTGTTTGTATCAGTATGACCATTGGATGATTTGCGCTTCTTGCCCAGGCTCTTATCAGAAGCAGAAACTTCATGCTGCGATCTACAGTTATGGTCTGTATGAAACTGCTGAAGATTTGATGGAGAAGCCAGACATTTGTCAGTTGGAGCAAATCTATTTTTCTTCTTCCTACAATTTGGATAATATAATAAGCATCAGATAGTTCATGCAGGGTACAACTTCGCCAAACTAAATGAAAAATGCTCTAAAACTAGCATATGGATATTGGTCTTGTATCTAGAACAGAATGAGACGGCATCACATGAAGACCATTGTGGCTGTTATTGATCGACAGAAGTTGCACGATCAAGATGTGATGCTATCAATGAACAACCAAAACCCAGTTTACAACAACACAAATCATTCACCATCCCTTAAGACTCACAGCATGAACCAACAAGTTCGTGGCTCTAACATCCCAGTACTTGTTTTACATTCGACTAGAATCATAAATGGCATCATTCACATTGTGAAGCAGCTAGCATAAACAAAAGCAAGATATGAGGATCAAGCACCATCAAGAACATGGTATTCGAACTAGAAATGTTGCCTGCATATAAGAATCTAATGCTATACGATTCTTTAGATTTAGCATTGATAGAGACTGGTACTAAATACTTTGAGCTGTGAACTGTTTTCAGTGCCTTCCTTTTCCTGCAAACTGTTTTCTCTTTGCTTCCCACATCCAATGTGTCTTCCAACTGATTCAGCAGATCATAATGTTCTGCTTCATTTTTGTAGTCAGTGCACTCCTTCACAAGCTCCTCGTTGGCTAGAAGCTGAACATCTAGACCAGCAGGTTGCACCTCCTCCATGTCTGCCATCGTCTCAACTGCAATCACATTGTCCTCATTCTTCTTCACCCTGTTAGAAGAACAATACGGCAAACTGGGAGACTTGGTCTTATAGAGACGAAGTAATCAAAGAGCAAATATCGCCCACAAACTGACCTAACAATATCTCCATCCTTCAAAATAGTAGTAGGCTCAAAGGGTGGTAGAACGAACCCGTCCATCTGTAAGAGGGAAAAGATGAGCTAAGCATGCATATCACTGAAGGTGCCTAATCAAAGACAACCAAACAACTCTCCCCCCTCCTCCATCGGGAATTGCAAGTGAGAAGAACCCAGAGAAAGCGAGAGAGGAAAAACAAACTTACAGAAAGAAGGAGGCCGTGAGGACAAGCATCGCGAAGAAGGAAAAGGTCGAGAAGATAGGAGGAGAAGTCGGAAATGGAATGGAGGTGGGGTTTGAGAAGAACCCAACTCCGTTTCAGTCCATTTTTCCTCTGCGGCTTGCTCAGTAGGCGCCCCTCTTCGAAAACCAAACGCACTCTTACTGTCCCCGAATTCATCGATCATCCGAACAAACCCGACACCCACCAAGATTGCTTGCAATTCGCAACAAATGGAACATAAAATTAGGCTTCAAATCGTTCGATTGCTTCGGTGCTTCCTTTCAATTATTTATTTATTTAATTAACACAAAATCACACCTTTTCTCTCACGATTTCTAAACTCGATTGCATTAGCCTTTATCTCTTATTTGTATAGTCAAAATGTCAAATTTTCTTAAAAACCTATAATTTTGTAACCAATATCATGGTAATTTAATATCATTAGTCTTCTTCCCCCAATATATTTATCAAGTTTGCTGATCAACCGTTGTGGATCCACATCAAAGGATAACGGATATGTTTATATGTCTTGAGCATCAATAGAATACCCGTGTCTTCGTGAATAGGAGATCTATGAGATGAAATAAAAGATAATGTCATACTTGTACGATCTCATCGATCATGGTTGATTTTAAGACTTTTTTTTTTTTTTTTGTTTGTTTGTCTAAGGATCCCTTCTTTACACAATATTTTATCTTGACTCGTTGAGCGTAGTCACAAAGCAACGAGTTTACTGGAACAATTTAAACATAATCGTCTACTCTTTCTTAAATAAGAATTGGCACGTGGACTACATGCCTGCGTCTTCATAAAATGAAAAATTATAATTAAATTTATTGTACGTGTATGTATGTATATACAATAATGATTTTGATTAGAATAAGAATACCATTTATAAAAGTTACTAATAAAAAAAATTTGAAAGTGTCTCTTCCATATAAGCTAAATTGGTAAAAATATGACTAACAACTTTCAATATGGTATCAGATCTATTAAAAGTATTTTAAAAATATTCTTCTATTCTTAGAAATTTCATTAATATCCTTAAATGTTATTAAAAAAAATTATAAAATAGTTTTGCGACTAGTATATGAATTGAACCGATAATGTTAAAAAATATTTATAAATTTTCACCCTAATATTTAAGAATTGACACGTGGCCGGTCTGTGGAAAGGAAAATTGAAATTAAATTTGATGTATAGATAAATGCCTATAAATCATCTTACAAATAAACATTCCTTATTTAGTGTCAAAATTGTGATAAGATAGGGATTTCGATGAGGATAAGAATAAACCTTTTAAAAATTAATAAGCTAAATTAATAAAAATACTTCTTACCCGTAACCATATTTAAAATTTTTTAAAATTTTTAATAATAGTTTTAAATTAAAAAAATTAAAAATTTTACATATGGCCACGTAGTAATATTTTAACCATAAAAAATAAAAAAAAAAGAATTTCTTTTATTGTTACTATATGGATAAGAATGGTTAATCTCAACGATCCATGCACTAAAGAAAAACTATTTTCATCCATTTATGGATATTTTTCTTAGTTAATGTCGCTGTTCCCGCGTATTGTTATTTAAACCGGTCTTTATCGTTTTTGTAATTCACATTTTAAATTTAGTAGTATAAAAAGAACTCTGTTTCATGGTCTATTCTGAACTTGATCATGAAAGACGTCTTCTTCAATTCTCTCTGCTTTTGCTTCTTCTTCTTCTGTTCCGTGTTTCAATTCAATCGGTGCGTAAATCTCTCCTTTCTCTCACTTTTCTTTCAAGTACTATAGCTTATATGGTCCTTAACTCTGCGTTGTTTAAAGAATTCCGTTTCCATATCTTGTAAAGCTTCCTCTACTTCCTGTGAAAAGCTAGAATTGTCGTTGAGTGAAGGACAAAGATCCATTTCATTTCTTTTTAAAAATTGTATTCCCGTGTAAGGGATTCTGTTGCTTCTTCTCTATTGTTGCTGCAAATTTAGAGATGTGCTAGGTTTGGGACTTTCTGTAAAGCCCATCTACGAGCTAGTGTTGTGCTGTGAACTTCGTTAACTTTGGATCATCTAGGGCTATGGTTTGGATGAAGCCTCTGGATTTACTAATCATATGGTGCATACTAACTTTAATCTTTTTAGGGTGTCCTCGCAAAATGGAACAGAACGTGCTGCCGTCCCGCCGAGAGGTTGGAACTCCTATAATTCATTTTCCTGGATTATTTCTGAAGAAGAATACCTAAAAAATGCGGAGGTTGTGGCCAATCGACTTAAGTCTAAGGGATATGAGGTAGGGATTTGGTAACTGGCTGAAAATTGTGCGGATAAAATTGCTCATTTTATGATCTAATTAATGTGTGCATTCCTCTAGATTTGTTGTAGTGTAACGCAGTAAAATGGTGGTAAGATGATTAATCTTCTCGTTTGTTTGATGGATGCAGTACGTGGTTGTGGATTACCTGTGGTATAGGAGAAATGTTCCTGGTGCTTACGCTGATTCTCTTGGATTTGATGTCATTGATGAATGGGGGAGGATGGTCCCGGACCCGAGTCGGTGGCCTTCCTCGCAAGGTGGGAAGGGATTCACTGAAGTAGCTAAGAAAGTTCATGATATGGGTTTGAAGTTTGGAATTCATGTCATGAGAGGAATAAGTACACAGGCAGTCAATGCTAATACGCCTATATTGGACATTTCAAAGGTAACTTAGTTCCCTTATTTTTCTGTATTACGCGAGCATTTGTAAATACTCAGCCCTGAAATACACTCATGAGAAATGATTATAAGGTTCTCAATTGCTTGGTAGGGAAGTGCCTATGAAGAATCCGGGAGAAAGTGGTTTGCAAGTGATATAGGGGACAAGTCGAGGACTTGTGGATGGATGAAAAATGGTTTCATGAGTGTGAACATGGATTCAGGAGCTTCAAAAGCCTTCTTAAGGTCCCTTTATCAACAATATGCTGATTGGGGTGTTGATTTTGGTAAGTTTACTGTCATTGACACAACGCGAGCTCACTTTCTACATGCTTGCATGCCTCTCTCGAAGTATTTGACAGTGTTTTAGATTTGTGATGAATTTCATTTTGTTCTTCAGAGTACGATGTCTGAACCAAAAAGATCTTGCCATTACCTGGAATCTTGATACTAACCTGAAATGATCATTCTTTTTCTGGCAGTGAAACTTGATTGTGTCTTTGGCGATGATTTGGATTTACCTCAAATAAGCTTTGTGTCTGATGTATGTTCTCTTCTGTCATTTAAGTATGCAATTGTTACTCATACGCTAAATGCTAATTCATTTAAGTATGCACAGGTTCTTAAACAACTTGACCGCCCAATATTGTTTTCTCTGTCCCCCGGAAAAACTGCGACGCCAGCCATGGCCAAGGATGTAAGTGGGCTGGTTAACATGTATAGAATAACAGGTGATGATTGGGATAATTGGAAGGACCTCGTTTTCCACTTTAACATCACCCGGTAACTTTAGTTATTATGTTTGAGTTCAAGAGATTCAAATACATACCATTTGATATTGATGTCATCTCAACTTGTACTCTCTTCTTCAGGGATTTCTCTGCTGCTAATATGATAGGTACCACAGGCTTGCTGGGTAAATCTTGGCCTGATTCAGATATGCTTCCATTTGGGTGGCTTACTGATCCAGGTTATACAATTTTATAAGACTGAATACACTAAAAATGACTGTACAATTAGATTGAGTAACAATCTTAAGCTTTTATACATGTTATTAATAATGTTGGATGAAATGTTTAGCTGCAAACGAAGGCCCACATAGGACAACCAACCTCAGCGTAGATGAACAAAGAACTCAGGTAAATTTGTGGTTAAAAGAGGGAGAGAAAGAGAGTAATATTATCGCTGAAATGTTGTTCAACTTAATTTCAGATGACTTTATGGTGTATGGCCAAGTCTCCAATTATGTATGGAGGAGATTTGAGGAATATTGACGATGCCACCTTTAGTCTCATCACAAATCCTACGCTTCTGGAGATTAACTCCTTCAGCTCAAATAACATGGAGGCAAGTTGAGCTTTTTCAAGCTTGGAAAGACTTTCTTGATATCGACGTTTTGACTCTTTTGTGTTCATTTTCATTGTCATTACAGTTTCTTAAAGTTGCTTCAACAAAGGTTTCACACAGTCAGGAAAAGATTGTGAAATGGCATTCTAGAGATATGGTGGCATCAGTTTCACCTATACTTGGACTCACCAAGTGTTCAGATTCGGACGCAGCTGGTTGGGTTACTGAAAGTCTGAATCGAGGTCTTCAAAAAATATGTTGGAAGGCAAATCCAAAACACAAATATGAAACACCATTTTGTGTATATAAACGAGGGTCTCAACTTGCAATGTAATTGATTTGATGCTCTATTATTATTTTACTGTCTCAAGTTTTGAGTTTGTCACAAAAATGAAGTTGTGGCACAGATACAAAGAGGCAGCTAGTGGGCATGATGAAGGGGATGTTTGCCTGGATGCAACTCAGCAAAGGAAGCGTAGTTCGGAAGAGTTCAGGAGGGGGTCCTTTTTCCCTTGTAGAAGGCATGAGAACCAGGTGTGTCAAAATGTGTGAGAAGATGAAGAAATTTCTCACCCTTATTATTTATCTCTGTGATGCTCTTATTGAAATGTTGATTGTTATGAAAACAGAAGTGGGAGTTACACAGTAATGGGACGTTGGGAAACCAGCAATCTGGGGAGTGTGCAATTGTAAAGCAAAACGATGGTAATGAATTGGGTTGTTAATTATAAAGATGATGTTGAGTTTTTAGCATGATGATGATTTGATTGCATTGGTGCAGCAGAAGGTATTGAGAGTGGAGTTGGGTCATGGATTGCTACAGGGAGAGGAGGTTAGTGCATCAATCTCTGAGATTGTGAATGGGTTTTCACAATGTTGTTGTGGGTAAAGAAAGAAGGTTTTGATGTAATTCAGGTGAGGTATATGTTGCTCTCTTCAATCTCAACAACGAGAAGACTGAGATATCCGTGAAGATTTCGGACCTTGCGGAGGCACTTCCGGGCAAGGGATTGGGTCAGCCTTCCTGTAAATGCAGAGAGGAATGGAGTGGAAAAGAGTTTGGAGTGATGTCAGGGTCGACCATAGGTACACCACTTCAAACCCATGCCTCTGCTCTATTTACCATCAACTGCAGCTAGCCCTACTGCCTTATGGAACCTCTCTTTTTTGTGCCTAAAACTTTTTGTATTAAAGCTTAAATAATACGGAAATAAAGATTTCCAAGTCTGCTTCTGAATTGAGTTGTTTTACAACTGTTTTTATTAAATAACTAATTCAACTCAACTCTCCCATGGCCTAAAAATCCCGTAAACAATGATGGTTCAATGATTTAATAATTAAGAGGGAGAGAAGCGAACTTTGGGCTTTCAAATCGATGCATATCTATGGGCCTCTATGTTTATATATTATTGAATGGGAAAGTGGAAGTTGTTCAAGTTGAGAACATATGGCACTGAAGTGAAGGCTGCATCCAGGAATGGAACGGTGGCTGTTGATACCAAATGAATGGAGAATACAACGCATCCTGACCCTCCAATGGGTTGAAGTCAACAAACACAGATCCTCGTCCACGTCGCCACTGCTTCTTTCGTGCGCCGTTTGATCACTTTCCCTGCGGGCGCGTGGTAACCAAACTCCCATATAATCTCCACGCCCACACCACTCCCCCACTCATCACTCCACTCTTCCATCCATTTCCATTACAAAACATCGGAGGGAAGACGGGAAAAAGAGGGATTCTATAAAATCCTTCTTCCTCTCTCGCAACGACCGTTTCCATTTTCTATTTCCATCGCATGTTCTCTGAGCTCCGGCTCCATTAACGGAGCCTAGCTCATTCACCAAACTCCAATTTTTCGTTTAGATCTCTCTTCTTCCTCTATTTCACTACTTGCGATTCCTGGATCTCGAGCTTCAGCCAAACCAAACCAAACGAGATACAAATGTCAAAACCCTGGGGTGGAATCGGAGCCTGGGCCGCTGATGCCGAGCGTGCTGAGGATGAGGAGCGAGAGGCGCAAGCTGCTGCGGCCGCTTCCCAAGCAGAATCCAAGAATTTCCCTAGCCTTAGGGAAGCCGTCAGCACCAAGCCCAAGAAAAAGAAGATGTCGCTGTCGGAATTCACTATGGGGACCTTGACGGGTCATGGCGCCGGCGGTAGGCTAACGGACAGCCAGGGCTTGACCCCGGAGGAGATGATTCGGCTTCCAACTGGTCCAAAAGACCGCTCTGGTGAGGAAGTACGTTCTGGCCGGCTCGGTGGGGGATTTCCCACTTATGATCGCCAAGGTATGTCTGCTGGTCGATATCGAGACCGTGATGATGGCGATGGGTCCTGGGGTGGTGGTCGACGATCTTATGGCGGGTTTGATGAGGAACGCAGGGGCTCATCTCCTAGGGCTTCCAATTTCGATCAACCTTCGAGGGCTGACGAGGTGGATAATTGGGCAATGACGAAGAAATCTCCCACATTGGATTCAGGTCGACAAAATAGGTATGGGTCGCTAGGCGGTGGTGTGGGTGGAATTGCATCTAGGGCAGACGAGGTCGATAACTGGGCACGTGAGAAAAAGCCTATTCCATCGAGATCCTCCACATTCGGTTCCAGTTATCGTGAGGCGAATGAGCCTGATCGATGGGGTAGAGGCCGTTCACGTGATAGTGTCACAGAACGACCCCGATTAGTGTTGGATCCACCCAAAGGTAATGTCGTAACAAATGAAGCAGCAAGGGCGAACAAGCCAAACCCTTTTGGAGCAGCAAGGCCGAGAGAGGAGGTTTTGGCCGAGAAGGGATTGGATTGGAAGAAGCTGGATACAGAAATTGAGGCCAAAAAAACCAGTAGGCCAACTAGTGCTCACTCTAGCAGGCCTTCGAGTGCTCAATCCAGCCGTTCGGAGGGTCCAGGATTACAGGGCGTAGAAAATGTGGTGAAGCCGAGGCCAAAAGTCAATCCATTTGGGGATGCCAAACCTAGGGAGGTTTTGCTGGAGGAACGTGGCAAGGATTGGCGAAAGATAGATCTGCAACTTGAGCATCGTGCTGTTGACAGGTCTAATTTCACTTTTAGTATTGTTAATCTCTATCTCTCTGTTATGGTTTGGTGCTGGGAACAATTTCTTTGTTTTCTGATTGTCATTTGCTTCTCGGAGGCAAAATTTTCCGGTATGAAACTGGCTGGAGTTGTTCTATTGAGGATTAGGTGTAACTTGATTTTTTCTGATGCCAGCTATCGTCTTAGACTGGGAACTTGAGTGACCACATATGTCATATAGTTATGTCCAGCTTGTTTACTTCGGTGTTGGTGTCATTGCCTAATGAAGGGTTGAAAGGACGGAAGGCGACTTTCAAATGTGATCACTTTTGGTTTAAAGACATAGGGAGTCAGTTAGAATTTTGGTTTAAATCCTATTTACCCATGAACTATTAGATATAGTTTGTTTGGGTCCTTGTATTTTCAACTTTTGATTCATGAACTTCGCTTAAAGACCTCTCACTCTCACTCTCGTTGGACGTCGGACTGGACATTGGACTCTCCTGTGTTTATGCTAAATCATTTATGGCATCTGTCCTGGATGGCGGATACATAATCCAACTTCCAACACATGAGCTAGGGTGCAATACCGGCACATTCGTGTCGTCTGATACTGTCCTTGAAAAATTCATTTCAAAGGAAGACACTCGAGACACTCGTCTTGCTATACTCGTCCTTACTGTAACGCACGTATGTGCCACATGATATCTCGCTTAGGCCACAGGGCCTAGGTGTGAGCTGACACCATGCCTCCCCCCATAGCCCATTTTTAGGCATTTTCAATCTTCCTCAGGCAGATGTCATTTTGGCGAATGGTCGTACGATGCCGAGGAGCATCTATTCAGTGTCCGATTGACACAAAATTTGGCGAGCATTCATATTTCATATGAAAGGACTTAACTCTAGAACCATATGCCCAAATTCCCTTTCAAAATCCCGACTTTTGAGGTTAAGGCCTGGGGCCCTACCCGACCCTTCAACAAGCCTATCTCTGACACTCATGTCTACTCGTTGCCCCTATCTTTCTCATGCCTCGTCTTCTCTTCAATGCTCACTTTGTGTGGCGTGTTGGATGATGCACCGTCCTCTTTGGTCGCATCATGACACACGTCTAGGCCATCGTGTGGCTAGATGGGCACCACTTGAGGGTTGCCGCTTTCCTTGTCACAACGTGAGGGTCACAACCTACTCTCTTCATATGATTGTTACTAGCGAAGTTACGAAGTTATTCAGAAGACTTTAGAGGAGGAGAACCACACTCCAAACAAAGGAAGTAAATAGACTTGCTCAAATATTTGAAGAGAAAGGGCCTATCGAAAAAGAATAAGAAGGGAAAAGGTGGTGGATAAAAATGTGTCTTTGTGACTCATTTGCTTCTTTACGTAGAGTGTCACGGTCATACATCTTCGACAGTGGGGCATCATTATCTTGACACACTCATGACAGGCCTTAAAGGGAACTTAAGCCCCATTCACGTTTTTTGCCCGACTTTGTGGCTTCGTCGGACCTTGGGCGAGGTTCACCTTTGCCAATAGAACACAACTTGTGCGGAATACAAGCTTGTTTAGCTACACACGCCGCTTGTGCGTTCATGTTCAATCGTCTGTGACTCTAGCCGATTTACCTCTACACTAAGACAAGTTATTCGGCTTGACTTTGCCTTTACTCTAGGTCAAAGTCATTCGGCTTGACTTTGGCTTTACTCTAGGTCAAAGTCATTCGGCTCGACATTGCCTTTACTCTAGGCCAAAGTCATTCGGCTCAACATTGCCTTTACTCTAGGCCAAAGTCATTCGGCTCGACATTGCCTTTACTCTAGGCCAAAGTCATTCGGCTCGACATTGCCTTTACTCTAGGCCAAAGTCATTCGGCTCGACATTGCCTTTACTCTAGGCCAAAGTCATTCGGCTCGACTTTGCCTTTTCTCTAGGCCAAAGTCTCTTGTATGCATCATCGCATCTTAGTCATCATCTTGGTTCCCAACGACACGACCATGCATCGTGATGCTGTCCCATGTCTCGGGACAGCTCGACCATCTTGGCTTGCTCGGACATGTCCATCGAGACCAACCCATGTGTTGCTTATCTGATCGAGACATCTCGAACATTCATCCATCCGGGTTCTCATCGGGGCATGAACTCCCCCTTGTTCATGGCATGTCATTTACGAGTTCTGTACCGGATAGCGGGTACATATTCCAACTTCTGACACATGGGTTGGGGTGCAACGCTGGCACACCCGTGTCGTCTGACATGCCACCTACGCTATGACATACGTATGTGCTACGAGGTAGCTTGCTTAGGCCACAAGGCCTAGGAGTGGTGGAGAGCTGACACCATGGCTCTCCTTATAGTACATTTTGAGACATTTCAAATCTTTTTGGAGTAGACGTCGTTTTGGCGAGCGGTCATATGGCCCCATTGAGCGTCCGTCAAGTATTTGATTGACTCCAAACTTGGTGAGCTTTCTTCTTTCATATAGAGGAACTTAACTCTAGAGTCACATGTCAAACCTCATATTGAAACCTTGACTTCTAAGGTTATGGCTCGAGGTCATACCCTGCCCTCTCCAAGCTTGTCTTCAACTCTCGTGTCACCTCGTTCTCTCCAACCTTGTGTATGCCTCAGCCTGACTTGAGTGCAACTCTTGGTGTGTTTGATGATGCACCATCCTCCTCGGTCACAACATTACACTTGTCTATCTTGGCCTTCACGTGGCTGGATGGGCGCCACTTGAGGTTCACCCTTTGTCTATCTTGCGTGTGGAGGTCACAACCTACTTTCTCAAGGTTGTGACACAAAACACCCATTTAGAGAGAGCGCGAAACCAAGGACACCTTTGTAATCTTTCATAAGTATTAAGGCATGAGTGAGTAAGTTCCCAAAGAACTTTAATTTTCTGTTCTAAGAATTCTATGTAACAAAAACTCTCTTGGACATGAAACCCAAGTTTCTTTACATGTAAAAGCATTTAGAACTTGATGTGCGCGGCCTTCTTTTTTTAATTGGACATGGATATTGTTTTAGAAGACATGTATGACAAGCCGTAAGTATCGGTCATTGTTGTGCTATCATGTGGTCACAACATTTGCTCGTTTTTTACAACTTACATCTAGTATACTTCGCTGCAACCTGACACAAGCCTCAAGTATCTTTCAGTTCTAAGCTATATTCAGGTGACTTGCCATATTCAGTTTAATTTGT